TTTTTTTGTTGATTTGCTTTGTTTTGTTTTTTTGAATGTCCAGAGGACCAGATTTAACTTTTTTAGATTTTTCTACCTGGATTATTGAGCATGCATCAGGATCTTTAATGCATAAAAGTCAGGTGTGGACGGGGTTTGGACCCCGGATCTTTGGTTTAGAAGGCTTTCACCTCACCAAATGGTCACGATTCCCCATTTTACTTATTCCTTTATAGATTAAATAAAAGATTGTGATTTCACAGGATTAGATTATACTCTTTGTAAGCTCAGGTAAAATTGGTTTGGGCCATTTGGTTTACAATGATGAAAATATAAAACAGTCTGTTCGGACACTTTAATGTTGTTGTCCTGTTTACTCCCAGGTCTTGGTCTTAACGGTATTCCAGCTGTTGTGCAGAGGCTGAAAAGTGATCTTAGCTATTTAAAACAAATGGGTTTGTATGTTTTTATTGCATAGCGTGGTAAAGGTAAAAATACATGTAGATCCATTGAGCAAGACGATGAGGAGCAAAACAACTGTTGTTTTTCTTTCAGCTGCTCCCTTTGGGACCTCCAGCAAGCAATTTTGCCTGAAAGTTCTGAAAACTGAGAACAATAAAAAATAAACAAATACTGAGAAGATTTAGGAACAATGAACTCAAATAACATTGTTTTTCTGTTAAAATCTTTTTTTTTAAATAAGACATCAAACCCAGAAAACAACCAGTCCAAACATTGCTCTCTGCAGAACCACAAGGTTTACCTCAGAAAATAATAAGTTCTCCAAGAACCACCACTATGACTGACAGAAATATTTACTGGCATGTACCGAGATGTTTGAAACACATTTGACCAAAACAAGAATGTTCTACTTAAATACTGAACTCTAACCTAAACACAAGACACTCATCTTTTTGCCAACCTGAACCCAGAGGACGCACACCGAGGCCTAATCATCCATGGCATCCATGTTTAGTGGTAAATGCTGAAACACCCAGTGGACCTGAGGTTCGCTGTTGAGAATGTCACTAAATTCTAACAATTCCATTTCCCTTTTTCTGAACCCTGGGCTGAACAAAGGAGACCTCTGGATGGATGGATGGATGGATGATGGATGGATGTATGGATGATGGATGGATGATGGATAATGAATGGATGATGGATGGTTGGATGATGGATGGATGGATGATGATGCATGGATGAATGGATGATGTATGGATGATGAATGATGGAAGAATGGATGAATGGATGATGATGGATGGATGGATGGATGATGGATGGATGGTGAATGATGGATGGATGATGGATGGATAATGGATGATGGATGGATAATGGATGGATGATGGAAGGATGATGGATGGATAATGGATGGATAATGGATGGATGATGGAAGGATGATGGATGGATAATGGATGGATGATGGATGGATGATGGATGGATAATGGATGGATTATGGAAGGATGATGGATGGATAATGGAATGGCTGCCACAGACAGCTGACTTTAGAAAACACAAACAACTGCACCTCAGCCAGTTTTACACCCACGGAGCTCAAAGTTAGTGTGGTAGTAGCTGAGCATCATTACTAACACATTTTTACTTAAGTAATGTTTAGAAAAGTAGTAATTAATATTCAACAAGAGTTCAACTATCTGCTGGAGGGTCTCATCCAGCAAACGGTCTCAAAGGATGTTTTAAAATATAAAAACAGGATTTGTTCTTGCAGGGAGTCCTGGGAAAGATGGCAGCTTAAAAACACATGAGGAAAATTCTTGTCAAAGTTTAAACAAGAACCAAAGTTAAAGACGACTCATTTATGAAACAAAGCTCTAACATCGTTTGAAGAAATGCTCGTTCGGCGCAAATCTAAAATCATTTCCTGTGGAAACATCAACTGTTTTAAAGAACGACGTTGTTCCCAGTGCATGTGTCAGAGGTTCAGGGACTGCAGTGATCCAAAGTCTCTGTATCTTGGTCAACTGGAAATATTCTGCTTTTCCCTGGTTTTAGGTCAAATTTGACTTTTGTTTTTAGATTTTGTGTTAATTTTTTCTTAAAATGCTCAAACACTTTACACAGTTTCAGGCTAACAGGTGTTTCTTGACCTTCAATCTGTCCGTCTGCACCAAACATCCAGATGTTCTCTTCCCATGGAACTGCAGACAAACATGTTGGAGTACCAAGAACCACTCAATGTGTTTTTATCTGTTTTTTAATATTTATCTCTGCAGGTAAGGCAAAAGCTTCATCAGCAGCATCGTCTTATTGGTGGATCATCGGCGTCGTTGCTGCCGTGCTGCTCGTGGCTCTGGCAGGATTGTTGGCCTACAGGAAACTGAGAGGTAGAGCAGCAGGAAGTCAAACTTACACAGAATAACATGGAAACCTGAAACTGCACATCACACACGTGTTAAATCAAACACGTCTGCTGGTCACATTCAGCTCCACAGACATGAAAGAGTTCTGCTCATGGATTCCTCAACAATTCATCATAAAACTTTAAAACTGAATTTGATCAATCTGCTTTGATCGAGGAGAGATTTTATTCTAGAAAACAACGTGCAGAATGGATCCCTCACAGGTTCAAAAGACCCACCGTCTCTACAAATCACATATTTTTAATACAAATTATTCATATTCAGGTGACTCTAACACTGAAATTCAGGATCAACCTGAGAATCCCTGTCATAAATATAAGCAATGCATTCATGTGTACAAACAAAAACACATTTATTTTACTGAAGATGTGAACGATAGATGAATGTTTTTATTTCATTTATGCTTATTATTTACCTTTTCGTTATGGCCACACTCTTATAGAACCAGCTAACACAAAAAGTTGTTGTAGAACGAATGAATGAAACTTACAGAACATGATGACAGGATGGACTACAACCAGTTCACTTCTGGAGTCAACCTGATCCAAGATGGCTGCCGTAGTCACGTGACCTTAAAGTACGTCTGCAGTTCAGTCAGGCTTCCTGCTGCTCAGCCGTAGTGTGGTAGTAGCTGAGAGTCATCACAGCCCAACGCCTGCTCACATGTTGTGTGGGCTCTCTAGCAGCACCTGCTGATGTCGGCCATGTTGGTCTGTTCTGTCTGTCTGTCTTTTTGTCCATCAGTCTTTCTGTCTGCCCATCCATCCATCTGTCCATCCTTCTGTCCATTCGTCCTTCTGTCCACCCATCCATCCATCTGTCTGTCCATCCGTCCTTCTGTCCATCCATCCTTCTGTCCGTCCATCCTCCTGTCCATCTGTCATTCTGTCCGTCCATCCATCCTTCTGCCTTTCTGTCAGTCTGTCCTTCTGTCCATCAGTCCTTCTGTCTGCCCATCCATCTCTCTGTCCATCCATTTTTCTGTCCATTCATCCTTCTGTCCGCCCATCCATCCATCCATCCATCTGTCTGTCCATCAGTCCTTCTGTCCGCCCATCCATCCATCTGTCTGTCCATCCTCCTGTCCATCTGTCATTCTGTCCATCCATCCATCCTTCTGTCTTTCTGTCAGTCTGTCCTTCTGTCCATCAGTCCTTCTGTTCATACTTCTGTCTGTCTGTGTATCTGTCTGTCAGTCTCTCCATCTGTCCTTCTTTCCTTCCATCTGTCCTTCTGTCCATCAGTCCTTCTGTTCATACTTCTGTCTGTCTGTGTATCTGTCTGTCAGTCTCTCCATCTGTCCTTCTTTCCTTCCATCTGTCCTTCTGTCCATCCATACATCCATACATCCGTCTGTCTGTCAGACTCTCTGTATGTCCTTCTGTCCATCCGTCCTTCTGTCCGTCCATCCTCCTGTCCATCTGTCATTCTGTCCGTCCATCCATCCTTCTGTCTTTCTGTCAGTCTGTCCTTATGTCCATCAGTCCTTCTGTTCGTACTTCCGTCTGTCTGTGTATCTGTCTGTCAGTCTCTCTGTCTGTCCTTCTTTCCTTCCATCTGTCCTTCTGTCCATCCATCCGTCTGTCTGTCTGTCTGTCTGTCTCTCTGTCTGTCCTTCTGTCCATCAGTCCTTCTGTTCATACTTCCGTCTGTCTGTGTATCTGTCTGTCAGTCTCTCCGTCTGTCCTTCTTTCCTTCCATCTGTCCTTCTGTCCATCCATCCATCTGTCTGTCAGTCTCTCTGTCTGTTCTTCTGTCCATACTTCTGTCTGTCAGTCTCTCCATCTGTCATTCTGTCCATCCATCTGTCATTCTATCCATCCATCTGTCATTCTGTCCATTCATATGTCCTTCTGTACTTCTGTCAGTTTATCTGTCCGTCAGTCGCTCTGTCTGTCCTTCTGTTCTTCTGTCCAGCCATCCTTCTGTTTGTTTGTCCGTCAGTCTCTCCGTCGTCCTTCTGTCCATCCATCCTTCTGTCCATCTGTCTCACCATGTGTCCTTCTGTCCATCCATTTTTCTGTTTGTCCATCCATCCCTCCTTCTGTCTGTCCATTCGTCTGTCCTTCTGTCCATCCATCTATCCGTCTGTCCATTCGTCAATCTGACCTTCTGTTCTTCTGTCCATCCATCTTTTGTCCCTCTGCCCGAGTTTTTCTGACTCTTCTCATGCTGAATTAAATGTCACCAGATGAATTTTCTCCTCCTCCTCCAGGAAAACCTTCAAAGTCCACGAACGACCCTGAAGAGGAGTCTGAGCTGAACCGGGTCTAAGGTCAGTCATCAAAAACCCAAACACTGAAAACGAACACCATGTGGAGTCAGAGGACGACGGACTGACTGATATTTATTGTGTGACTGCTGCAGTTTATTTTAGAGAAGCTGATGTTTCTTTAAAACTAGACAAAGTTTTAATTTAATTCATCTAAACTCACTGCTGCTCACAAAAACCCGACTCGAGGAGATCTTCTGTAAACTTTAAAAACAGATATCTTCTGAATGTCAGGCAACAGTTGTAACTTTATTACATTTATCCAGATGCATTAAATGAATTAGGAAGTAAAATACTCATTAATATGATTCAGAGTAATGTGAAGTTAGAGACGAGCAGAGACATGAAGTTGTGTCCTCACTTAGTTTCAGATGCAGCAGCTCCCTGACGAGCCGCGGAGCTGGATGAAGACTAAAGGATGGACAAGCTGGGACGTCAAGGACAATCAAGAAGATGACAGTTGGACTCCACCTGGTCCACCTCCGCACTAACAGAACAAAGACAGCTGATGCTGGGGAGGAGTTGTTTGACTTGAAGGATCACAGCATGAACTTTAAAATGATTTGTTTGATTCGTTGGAATGTTCTTCATGGCCACACTCAGGTGTGATCTGAAGTTCAGGAGGAGTTGTTTTTCATGAGGGTTTCTCTGAGAGAGCAGCTATGGATCGTTTTTAGTTTACCCTTCACCCAGCTGATCTGACTTCATGTTGCAAAACAACCCTGATGAGGACGAATAACTCAGCAGAAGCAGGAAACACAAGATCTACAGAGAAGAGCTTTTACTCACGAGACTTCATGACGAGTCACATGAGACGTGACAGAACAAATGAGTCCGAGTCTATTCAAAGTATAAAGTATATTTACTTTATCATAAAGTCACACAGTGTCTGCTGATCATCGAGCTAACTTCTAGGGATAGTCTGTCTAATCTTTATCAGTCGTCTGGAGCTTTTCAGCTGTGACATCACTCATAACGTCTGGAGAACAGGGCAGAGGAGTTTGTCCAATGGAGGATAAAGCTAGCCAAACAAGGATGTGGTTTCATCATTTTCAGGCTTATTAAACAATTCTTTATTGTTTCTAATGTGTGCTGAGCATCAGTAGACCAACACCAAAAAAATCCAGGGCCAGTAATAGATACAGAGCAGGTACAATATCTAATTATAAGGATCTACAACCAGTTGGATCTTATTTGAAAAACAGTTATTTCAGCCTTAAAAATACAGTTAGCTGTTTGGTTTTTATAAATGTTTCAGATATAATATATATAATGATAACTTTGCATAGCACTAATACTGAAGCTAATAGCATTTGATGCAGAGCTTACACACACACACACACACACACACACATATATATATATATACAAACCGGATTCCAAAAAAAGTTGGGACACTAAACAAATTGTGAATAAAAACTGAATGCAATGATGTGGAGGTGCCAACATCTAATATTTTATTCAGAATAGAAAACAAATCAAAGATCAAAAGTTTAAACTGAGAGAATGTATCATTTTAAGGGAAAAATTTGTTGTTTCCAAATTTCATGGCATCAACAAATCCCAAAAAGTTGGGACAAGTCCATTTTTACCACTGTGTGGCATCCCCCCTTCTTCTTACAACACTCAACAGACGTCTGGGGACAGAGGAGACCAGTTTCTCAAGTTTAGAAATAGGAATGCTCTCCCATTCATGTCTAATACAGGCCTCTAACTGTTCAATCGTCTTGGGCCTTCTTTGTCGCACCTTCCTCTTTATGATGC